CACTACAGCTTTCTTTAGGTGAGACTATTACAATTTAAAAATTTGATGATTTGGTTCATGTACTAAAATCTCAAACTAAACCAACAGAGTTATTTAACCAAACATCTGAAGAAGCCTGTTGTTAAAAAAATTTTATGGGCCTCCCTGGTGATGCAGGCAATTGAGCACAGCACTGTGAAGCTGTCCGCAGCCTCTGCAGTGCCAGTTGGATCCCCGCCGGCCTCGGAGGAACCCACATGGTGAGCCAGACCTCTTCTGTCTCGCTCGCTTCTCCCCTCAGCAGTGTATTTATTCAGTCTGCCTGTTCTGAGCCCTGCGCTATCTCTGGTGAATCCTCCCAGCCTCCTGCACATCTGGCCTATACCCTGGCTCTTGAATAAATAAAAAATAAATCTTAAAAAAAAAAATTGTTTTTACATTAGGCACATTTTTGGAGATCATAATAAATACATTCATAAGAAATTAATTCCAAAACTAGCTCACATGGTTTAGAAATGCTTATCTAGCTGATGGTTACATGGAGACTGGGAGATCTGTGACTAGAGTAGGCCTAGAATTTTTTTTATCACAGTCTGCTTTGTTTAGTAGTGAACCTAGTCAATTCATTTTACTCTTATAATAGATGCATTCAAATTTTAGATTTATCACAGCTTTTCCTTGGATTAATTCTTTCTAAATATAAAATTCAATGTGTCAACTTGCTTAGGTGGAAAGAAAATCAATACTGCAAATATATTCATTTTTTCCACAGAAATTCCCAAGAGAAATTATTATAGATTCAATAAATTTTTAGTGATGAAATATATTCTGTTACTTAGCCTAAATATGTATTTAGTCATTTTATCCCATACTACTCAATTATATTGCAACCCAGTTGTAACAGTGTAAATCATCTTTTTTTTCTTCCTTGTAGAGCAGAATTTTAAGTTACCATGCATTACAATTGTTGTATCTACTTCAGTTGGGGTCAAGAGATAGCAAAGTAAAGATTTCCTTTTAAAACTGCAAACTATAAAAATCAACCCATAAATAAGCATACTTATGATTTGCAGCATTATCATATTTTAAGAGAGAATCTCTAAATTGACTTTTTAAATTTTATTTTATATATTTTTTACATCATTTTTCATTTTTACAAAATGTATGCATTTTCATCTTGGTTATAGTTCCTATACAATTCCTACCCTCTTTGTTTTGATCCTTCTCCCTTCCCCCCACATCTGGTATTTTTCTTTTTCTTTCTGGCTTATTTCACTGAGCATGATCCCTTCCAGCTCCATCCATGTTGCTGCAAACTGCATGAGTTTATCTTTTTGATTACTGAGTAATATTCCATTGTGTATATGTACCACATCTTCTTGATCCAGTCATCTATTTTTTGGGCATTTGGATTGTTTCCATAGCTTACCAAAACAAAGAGGCACCCTAGCAATTGGGAGAAATTTTTTGCACACAACACTAATGATAAAGGACTGATCAAAAATCTACAAAGAGCTGATGAGACTCAACAAAAACAAAGTAAATAACCCAGTCAAAAAATGGGCAGAAGAGCTAAAAAGAAACTTCTCCAAAGAGGAAATGCAAATGGCAAACAGGCATATGAAAACATGTTCAACATCACTTGTAATCAGGCAAATGCAAATCAAAAGAACAATGAGATACCATCTTACACCAGTGAGAATGGCACATATTAAAAAAACTAGCAACAACAAATGTTGGCAACGATGTGGAGAAAAAGGAACTCACTTGCACTGCTAGTAGGAGTGCAAACTGGTCCAACCACTATGGAAAGCTGTGCGGAGGTTCCTCAATCTGCTAAGGATGGAGCTTCCATATGATCCAGCAATTTTACTTCTAGGTATTTACCCAAAGGACACAGAAACATTAATTCCAAAGGGCACATGCACCCCTATGTTTATAGCAGCACTATTTATGAAGGGTATGCTATGGAAAAAATCTAAGTTGACTCTTAATTGGAATGTTTAGCCATCTCTACAGAATTTGGAGTTTGTGAAAATTCTGTAACTAACAGAACTATTGGTTACATTAGTTATGTAATTGTTATTTTGACTAAGGAAAGTATAGTTAGAAGAGGCATTAACATTTCTTTCACAAGATGCAGGATTCAACAAGTCATCAAACTTACAAAGGTCATTATTCTTATCCTCTTGACAAAATTGACTGGAAAGTATAGCAGGCTGCCAGTGTAATGACCTGTTATCACAACCTTACTTATAATTATGCATGATACCCTTGCTTGGCAAACAGCTCTGGTTATTTTGTTTTGTATTGTTTTTGTTTGTTTTATTTCCTTGTAAAGGTCATTAAACATAGAGAAATAGTCTGACAGTGCTATGTGAGGTCCACTGCCCATATCAACACTGTTCACTTAGCAATTATACTTCGTAGTGCAAACTAATGCATTTTTAGAATGAAAATCAGTCTTTCAGAATATAGCTTAGCATGTCTGTTGTTGCAAAGCCCTCTTACTTCTAGATAAATACAAAAAAAAATTATATATTGAACTTTGAAACACTAGATTAGATGTATGATGATTCCACGAAATTACTAAAACCTTGCTAGGTCATGTCCGAAATAAAATAATGGCTTCCTATTTTATCAATTTTGAGTAATGCATTTATTTACTCTTTCAATAAATACAAAGCCTATATTATTATATACAGTAGTCTAGAAACATTAGAAACACAAAACTGGACTAACAAATGAAAATAGAAGTCACATAAGAGTAAATACATAATTAGTATATATTTATTGAACTTCTTTGGTCAAAGGGAACTTCAGGAGATATTCTGCAGGAAACTAGATTTTAGAAACCATTTAAAGTGAGGAATGTTGTTATATAATTTATTTCTTGTTTCCCAACAGAATTATTGCATTTTTTAAAAAGCAAATAATTTTTATTTAGATTTTTTTTAAAGATTTATTTATTTTTATACAAGAACTGGGGTATAGGCCAGATGCATGGGAGGGTGAGAGGATTCACCGGATACAGACCAGGGAACAGAACAGGCAGACTGAAGAAATACACTGCTGAGGGGAGCTGGGGTGCGACAGGAGAGGTCTGCTGCACCATGTGGGACCCTCGCTGTCCGGCCGGGACCTGCGGACATCTTCACAGCGTGGCACTCAACCACCTGCGCCACCAGGGAGGCCCTATTTAGATTTTATTAACCTGTGAGCATGACCATAGCATCTGTTATAGTCAGAGGATACTACTAAAAATGAAGCCTGTATCTTTAAGGATAATCTAGGATTCTTATTTACTATGTCTAAAAAATATTTAGCTGGAAAATGCTACAGAAAACAAACAGAGTATTTCAAAATTACAACTCATTCTATGGCTTTGTCTTCCTGAGAAAGGAAAAGTAAATGAATAGTCATCAAATATAGTCAAATTTCTTGGAGTCTTTGGAGTCTTTTGGAGTCTTTGAATCCATATACTTACTGTTTTTTTTTTTTTCCATTTGTTTATAACATGACAAGCGAACTCTATTGTGCATTCATATAAAGCCTGAAGTCATTGCCAATGAGAGAAATTTGGAATAAAAATAGGTCTGTCCTTAAAAGTCAGATGACTGGGGATAGGTTTTAAAATACTGGCCCTCTGGATTTTCATTGCAGTTAACAAATTCACTCTGGCTAGTTTGAACAAAAAGTATGTTGTATGTAATATTCGGTTCTTGCATTACCCTCTAAAGATCTGGTAGAGAAGACTTTAAGTTGAGTTCTTCAGACTTACTTCTTACAACAAGAACCACTTTTTCTCTGCCCCAACTAGGCCATTATGGTTCTTCTCATCATCTCTCGTAGCCCAGATTACCATGGTTACCTTCTTGCCTACCTTATTTCTTATGTATTCTGACCTATGTCCTCAGGCTTCAAGCAACTCCATCTATAAATATCTCAATATGCCATTCTAAATTCCAAAAAATTAACAAAATTCTTGTATCTGCAAATAATTAGATGAAGAAACTCATCTTTTTTGGTCCAGTATGTTTTCCACAGTCTGCATTCTTTTAACTGCATTCCTTAGTTTTGTCTCCATAATTTCAATAAATTTGTCCTTTACAAGATTACTTCATGGACAGTGTTGTGTTCACCCATAAAGTGGCACATGATTTCTGGATCTTTACATATTTTTTGAATGAATAAAATAAAATAAAACAATATTTATTTATTTATTTAAAAACTTTCTAACATTTGGGGAGAGTGTGTGGGATTTTTTTTCTTTCTGTGTTTAATTGTCATTCCTTTCATTTATGGTAAAGCAGAATGAGAAAAAAACAACAGTATGTTACACTTACGTAAACTAATTTGTAGGTTCAGGCAACCTCAGAATCAGTAAATCTCTTTTCAAGTGAAACCATGCAGTATTTTATTTCAGAATACTCAATGTTATAAATGAATCCCTAGATTATTACATAGATGCACTACGGAAATTAGATTTTAATTCAAATTAGATATGGAATGCTAATTTTCATTAGCAGGACTCCAAAGGAGCAAATTCTTCTGTGAACAGTGTTACTGAGTCCCTCATTAATCCATGTGTTAAAAAAACAAAAACCAAAAAAACAATTTTGGCAACTGTGCATTTTATATTTGAGGTTCATGATTTTATATTTTAAACAGTTATTTGTAGATTGAGCAAATCAAGAAACACTTGCTCACAATTCTATTCCTATTTATGTTTATAGATTTACAAACTTAGAAAGCTCATTCACATTAAAAGTGATTGTATTAATTTGTCTATCCTTTAACTCCCTCAGAGATGGTCAAATATCACATAGTAATCTAATATTACATAAGCTTATTATTATAATCATAAGTTTCATAATTTAATTATGATAAAAGTGTTCTTAGTTTGTTGACTAGCTGACAACATTGATTCTTCAATATGGCTAAAAGCAAAGTTTGAGAAACTTGCTCACCAAAGGAATTAGGAGAAAAATTAGAGCAAGTATTTAACAAGCAGAGTTTTAAATAGAGTCCAATTTATAGGAAGAAAGTTATTCATAGCAGGACATGGAGCTAGTGGTGTTTTGTAGACAATCTCATAAAATATTTTGAGTTTTAACTTGTGACTATTTTAGAAGGAACAACTTTAAAATATATAGCAATTTTGCTTAAGCAATTCCATCTTCTACTCAGGAGGAGTTTGGAGAGATACCGTGATATTCTTTGGGACTGGTGAGTTGCTGAAAGGTGGGAATGAGTGAAGTTTCATTTCATGATATCTGCTTCTGTAGGAAAATGACTGTGGGATGACCCTGAGGGTCACAGAATTGCTGTATATATGGGGTCCTTTTGAGAAACATAAAAAAATGAAGTGGCCTTTAACTTGAGAAAGAAATCACCCCTAAGTGATTGTGTGACTGGAACATGAAAATTTGAAACTATTGCCATTTCTGATGTCTTGGACAGAGAAAAGATTGGCAATATTTTCCATGTACTTAGTACTATTCAGTGTTTGCTAAAGCAAATTGTATTTTATTAGATGATATCTCAGTATTGTTTGCTCATAATTAATTTTTACCCAAGACAATAGCATTTCACAATTCTATTCTCAGTTCCTTAGCTTCCATAAACATTCACTTATTCCCTTAACTTATCAGCTTGATTTTTTTTTTTTTGTTTGATATTCGTTTAAAGCACTATTGTTCACCATGTATATTTCCAAACTTTGCCATATATGCTTTTACTTTGTCATATTCTATTTTTTTCATTTTATGTATTTTTTCATATTTATATTAGAACTAATGTTTCATCCCTTTGCTGATGCTTCCACTTTTGATATTGAACGCCGGCCTCAGTTTCCCTCAGCCAATAAAAGGAAGCAGGGTTTGAAGAGAAGGAAAGTAGTTTAATTTGTCAACAAACTGAGGACCACAGTCCTGCCTTTGGCAGAGGGAAGGGTTATTTATACAAAGGACTAAAGCAAAGGAGATAGAAAGGCTCAGCATGTCCTTTTGATGCAGGCATAGGAGATTTCAGATGGGTGCCAGCTTGCTTTGTTAACACCTGATATTTAACTTCCTTAGATGTTTAACTTCCTTATTATCCTCTTAGGGATCTACTTCCTTTCCTTAGAACTGCAAGAAGACAAACTTGTTAAATACAACAGATAGAAATGCTTATCTGATGGGGCAGATTGTATCACATTCTGATAATCTGCTGTTTCATACACTTTTTATGCAGTCAATTCTTTTATTTGTTCCACAGCAAAAATCAACACATTCTATTTTAAAATTCATGATTAATATTTTCCTATATTTATTTATGAATAGACAAAAGTTCTTTTCTAGAAATACTTATGAATTTCTTGTGGGAGTTATATTTAAGGGCTGAGATTTTTCTGCATACTTTTATTTTTTATTTTTTACCATTTTTTTTAAAGATTTATTTTTTATTTATACAATAGCTAGGGTATAAGCCAGAGGCGTAGGAGGGTGAGAGGATGCACCAGAGACAGCGGGGAACAAAACAGGCAGATGACTGAAAGCACTGCTGAGGGGAGCAGCAGGGGAGACAGGAGAGGTCTGCTATGACATGTGGGTATCTCCCTGGCTGGCTGGGAATTGAACCCACGCTGCAGAGGCTGCAGACAGCTTCACAGTGCTGTGCTTAACCCCCTGTGCCCCAGGGAGGCCCAGCATACCTTTATTTTTTAAAATACTTCCAGTATTTTCATCAGGGTCCACAGAGTGATTTTTTTGCTTTGCTTATGTTAACCACAATTATCTTGATTTTCACTGGAAATGAGATATAGTAAAACATTAGTAACTCTGTTTATTAATATATATATATCATTTTATTACAATGTCAAAGAACTCAATGAAATTGGTATCACTACACTCACTTTTCAGTTGATGAAACTGAGGACTAGTTATTTTTAGTAAGTCTTAAAATCTTTCAGGTTAATTTTTCACATAGCCTATGAAAGACCTTAATTTAAAATTCTGATTCATTTATCTAATAGTTTATATTCTTCAATCATTCATTCATGCAATTCATATTATCATTCAATTAATAACTGGAAAGTGCCCATTTTATTCAAGCACCACTGATGGTGCTTCTCATCAGTTGGATTAAAAAAAGCATTCTTTCTTTTTTTTTTATAGAGGCATGTTTTTATTTATTTATTTGTTTGTTTTGTTTATACATTCGCTGGGTACAGTCAGAAGCGCGGGAAGGTGAGAGAATTCACCAGAGTCAGAGCGGGGAGCAGAGCAGGCAGAAGGACCGAAGCACACTGCTGAGGGGAGCAGCGGGCGGCAGGAGAGGTCTGCGCGCCATGTGGGACCCTCCTCTGGTGGCCGGGGAGCATCCGGGGATCGAACCTGTGCCACGGAGGCTGCAGGCAGCTTCGCAACCCAGCGCTCAACCGCTGCGCCGCCGGGGAGGCCCAAAAAAATCATTCTTTCAACTGACATACAGAGCTGCCGGGCCAGAGCCTTGGCTTTTTAAGCACTTTTATTGTTGGTTTTATGGTTCCTGGATTTAGGAGTTCCTCAGTCCTTAACTATGGTGTGAGAAGAATTCACAGCTTTGTCTTTAGCAGAAGCAAAAGCAAAGTTTAATTAACAAACAGAATATAAGGGAACCCAGGGATAGGTACTTGGGTGAGTAGATTCCTTGGTAAGAACAATTGTGGTGCTCCAGCCTTCAGTGGGATGCAGGAATTGTTTGTTCACTGTCCTTTTGCCCAGGAAAAGGGCAGGTAACAGTTTCCCTGCCCCACCCAAAGGAGAGTGGAGCTGAGCTGGGAGAAGAAACTGGGAGAGGAGACTGGAGAAGGAAGGAAGCAGCGTGGAGAGCCAGAAGGAGACCTGGAGGAGGCACGTGGAGCAGAGAGACATGTAAAAATTGCACTTGCTTCTTGGTCCTGGACTGTTTGAAACAGATGTGGGTGAGAGACCCCTGGGGAGGGTAACAAGGGCAGCGTTTATCTTGATTTTGGTTTTGCTCTTTTCCTCCTGGACTTGTCTGACTGTTTCTGACTCTTTTCTATGGGTGCCTCCCAGAAAATGCTTTGACTTGTGGCAGGCTTTCGGGTCTTGCTCTGGGCCAATCCTATTTGGCTGGACTTTTACCCATGAGGGGATAGGTAACTTCGGGTGCTTGATTTGGAAACTATATTCTTTGTCTTTTCTGTATTGCACACTAATTGTATTAAAGTCCCTTTTTATTAAAGGTCTTGATACCGGAATTGTCAGGTCTAGTCTCCCAGCCAGGAACGGATCCCAGGCTGCAGGGCAGCGCTGAGTCCCAGCCACTAGACCCCCCAGGGTTGGTGTCTCACGAAGCCGCAGCAGGAACTTCGCAGACGCTCAGGCAAGCAAGCGAGAAGAGGCAGTTTGTTTAGAAAAAGAAAAAGTTTATTGAGGAGAAAAAGAACAGAAATAAAGTGGGACTCCTAGGCCAGGGAACCAGGCCTGGGAGGGGCAAGGAAGCCAAAGTAGAGTCGTGTCTTAGGGAATATATACCTTTTTTCCCTCATTATTCTAAAGCTGCCCCAGTCTCTTTGTGATTGGTCAGTTCTCGGCTGTCTCACTCAATTTGTTACTGAGTGGGGATCTTCACACTCCTTATCTAACAGCTTTCTCTTTCCCCATTTGTTGCATCTTTAAATTTATGGCCCAGTCTTCTGGATGGGCATCCCTGCATTGAAGTTAAACAGCTGCCCTTCTAATGTGTCCATAAATTAAACTACTCTCCATTTCTCCAATCTCCGCCTCCCTTTACCACCTGAAGGAAACCAGGACCAGCATTAACAATGTTGTCCTTGGTCCTGGCATGTTTGTTTTTCCTAATGGAATTGGTTATATTTCTTTGGTTGTCCTTATCTCTGAAGCCTCCCTAAATTCTTCAGAGATCCCCTCCTGCACTGTCCCTAAAACTGCCTAATAACCCTAGCTTGCCCTGTCTCATTCTTATATGTTTTTTCTTGATGTGGCAGATGGCAGAAACTATTCAGAGCGGGCAGGTTTGGGGGTTCTGGAGTGTCCCTCACCCTGCTCTGTAACACTTTGTTGGGGTACACTGCACAGGCAATCCTGGGTTGTAGTTTATTGGTCCAGGCAGCAGTTTCTAAGTCACTCCCCCTTCTACTGTACTCCAGGGTGAAGTTTATCAGCCTTGCTGGCTGGTTGGGGCAGGGAAGAGCATTTAAACCTGGATGGGCATGGTGTCAACCAGCTCTGCCCCTCCCTTGGAGGGGGAGAGCATTTAGGGTTTATTTTACTGAATAGGTATTGCTTGTCCTGTTTAGGGGAATTGCTTGTCATCCAGAAACTGACCAATATGGAGGAATTGCCCCCTCTGGGTGTTTCTTGCTCTCCTTGAACTTCATCATCTGCCTGTAGCCTGGGGTGGTACTCTGCCTTTCTCCCCTCTGGGTGTTTCCTGGCTCTCCCTTGGCTTTATCAACTCTGGTGTTTCCTGGGGTCCTGGGTATAGCTGGCTGTTTAATTTTTCTTAGGCATTGAACTCCTAGCCCTAATTGTCTAGCACTTTTGAGTGCACACTTGTAGAACTGTGTCATAGCCGGCACCTTTATGTGAGAAAATGGCCTCCACAGTTTGTTTATCTGTCATTTAACTTTTCTGACACTTTCATGGGTATTTTAATGAGAAACAGAGGCAATTTTATTAGCAGGGAGACTCAGCTAACAATTTTGGGAAGCTCTGACTTGTGTTCATTGATGCAAATATAGTATTTAGATATCAAAGAAACCTTTGAAGTCAGCAGTTTCTTACCCAGATATTAATTTATAGAATCTTTGCTTTTCCTTCCTGTTTCTTGGACTTTTTGATTTCAGATGAGTATATTTCATTAGTGTATATAAACATATACATATGTAAAATAAAAATGTAAACTTTATTATTTTGATTTTTTAATGAGAAAATGTCATAAAATCACTTTATTTTTTTTAAAGATTATTTACACAAGCACTGGGTACAGTCAGAAGCACGAGAGGGTGAGAGAATTCACCAGAGACAGAGCGGGAAACAGATCAGGCAGACTGACGAAATACACTGCTGAGGGGAGCATGGCAGGAGAGGTCTGCATGCCATGTGGGACCCTCTCCGGCAGCCGGGCATCGAACCAGCGCTGCAGAGTCTGCGGGCAGCTTCGCAGCCCAGCGCTCAATCACTGTGACCAGGGGAGGCCCCATAAAATCACTTTAAAAAACAATTTATAGAACAATTGCATAAACATTAATAACATAATTCAATCAAAAAGTTTAGCCTGTCACCTTTGCAATCATCTTGAAACTTTTATTAAAAAAATTTACATTTAAATTTCAAAATTTATTCAAGGATATTCCTGTCTGAATAAGTGTTATGAGATTTAAAATCTAAGCCCATGGATGCTATAATCATTCTAATGTCAGCATTCTGGCTTTAAATAATATAAAAGGGGCCGCTCTACCCAAGACTGCCTGCCTGTGATTTTGCAAGTGCCTCTCTTTCCTTCTCTTTCTCCTTATCCTAATAACCCTGTTTTTTTTAATGTAAATAATAATAATTATAATAATATTATAATATAAAAGGGCAGTATCTATTCAGATAATATGGAAAAAAACTGTTAATGTTTGATGACAGATAACTAGGGTCTGCCAACTATTAAGGGATGGAAGCTTTAAACAGGGACTTGACCATCCATATGCACAAAGGCAAAGGTAGCCACTTTTGTTGTGTGCTAACAGTGTGGAAGAATTTTTTAAATAGAATTAGTATGTACAGACAGAGAGAGGGAAAAAGATTTCAAGTTTCCCTGCCAACTCCAAAAATTACCCTTCCACTCCTGAGTAGCCACATTTGGCATGCTTTTGCATGAGACGGTTCCACCAGGTTTTGATACCTCTGGTTGTCATTCCTCTCTAGTTTGAGCACTTGTTTTGTGCTTAGATTTTGAGTTTTACTCTTTTAGCTTCTGTTGCAGGAAACCCCAGGCCAGAATAACACTGGAAACCCTGAAATGATGAGAAAGATCATGAGCTTGGTATTTGATTCTGTTGATAGTTGCTTTAACTATTTTTTTTCACTTTTCCAAAGTCTAAGGGATGTAGAATGACATCTGGGACCACGTGTTTTTAGTCTCTAGCTTTAGGAATTTGATTATGAGTTCATGGAAAGAATTTGGTTTTAATTTTGACTTTTTAAAGTTTGAGTTTTACAATTTTGATTTTTGCATGTTTGTTTATGGGGCTATGTTTTGATTTTCCCCTTTATGTCCTTTTGCAGACTATTTTTTTCTACTCCTCAGGGTTTTCACCACAAAAAGCCAGAAAGAATACTCAGGCTCCTAGCCCCACCTTCTGCTATTCCAAAACAACTTAAACCTTTGTTTGCTCTCACTTAAATTTCTTCACATAAAATGCTGCTTCTGTTCTTTGGCTACCCTCAATTAAGACTCAATTTTTTTATAGACTCAATTAAGCTCTATCTTTTTCATAAAATCTTGCCTGAAATATACATGCTGACTATAGTCTGAAGTCCCAAACTACTTTTAATTAATACAGAAGGATTAAGTACTTAATTATTTATCCTTCTATATTGTTTATGCTGAAACTTCAAAAAATTTCAGTTGTTCTAACTGCAGTTGTTCTAACTGCAGCCTTTGTTGATCAAACTGCTCCCACAGCAGTTTTCCACGGTGAAAAGAATGTAAAGGTATGAGAACTCATACTAGAAAGAGTTAAGAGAAAGGCATTTGACCATACTACTGTATTCATCTTGGTTCACTATTCTCCTTTGATTTTTGCTACAATGGGTACATAGAGAAATCACCCATTAAGATACTTGATATGTTCACAATCAGCTAGACCTTTGCATACTCCAAGTCTAATTACCAAACACAAACTTTGATTAAACAAAGCAATCACTTTTTGTTTGTATTTTACTGCATAAAAATGTGAATTTGTTTGTTTAATTAAATTTTTATTGATAAACCATTTGCCTACAATACTATATAGGTTTTGGGAGTACAACTTCATGCCTCTTATTGGATTCAGTAGAGATTTTCTGTTTCTTTGATTTATACACATAACTATGTTACTCTCTTCCTTTTACTTATTTTGGGCTTATTTTTTCCTCTTTTTTTCCCTAGCTTCTTAAAGTTTGGCTTGTTTATCTGACGTGGTATGGTGGCACAGTATGAGAAAATGATTATTCAAAGTCCAAGCAGTTTTGTGAACAATGAGAAGCCTAGAAGAGCTACTCAGTGATACTCCTTTGAGAGGAGCAATTTAATGTGCAGTCCCCAGCCAGAGACAGTCTCGCTTTTATTGAGTGAAATACAGAAGATGGAAATCAGAGCAAGCAAGCAGGTAAAGTATGCCTAAGCTTGTGGGGAACACGTATCCACCTGGCGCCAGCCATGGCTGAGTGATCAGGGACAGAATACAGGGGTCTGAGTGTAGATGTTAATATAAGCATATCCTCTAAAGCTATATCTGAACATGCTATTTTCAGTACATATTTCCTCATACTAGGACTTTTCCCTGAGAGGCCCCTTACCTGAGTTCCCTGTTCATCCTCTGGGCACAAGATACAGGAAAAACAAGGCAAAGAAGAGACCCACATTCCCATATATCTCCCTTTTTTGTCTTAAGGCAGGTTGAAATAGGGAAAGAGCTTGGAGGAGGTACCAGAAGAGGTCATCGGTATTGTGATCATTACAAGAGGGTCAGCCTGGCTTTGGCTTGTACTATATGTCAGAACAAGTAGCAAAGGGCTTTAGCACTGAAAGAAATAGTAAAATAAATAATATACCAAGTCCAGTTATAATCCATACTCTGACATTTAGGCCCTCAAACTAAGTTTTTGGATTTAGCTGGTGGGCTAAGTCATCTAAGGGAGTTAGTGTGGCATTTTGCACCTCTTCTTGTATTTGGGCCATTGGTGGCTAAAGTTTATTTCTGAGATCTAGAATATCTCATCTGAGATGGTTATGAAAGGCACCATGAAGGTATAGGGAGATTTTTTTCCCCTGATCTGGAGGAACATCCTACTCCCACAGACTGTACAAAAATCTGGTGTTGAATTATTTTACAGCGATTGGCACCATCCACACCTAGATCTATATACCACTGAGTTTGAAAAGGGACACAGTAATTATCAGAGTGGTGATGAGAAAGAGCACAGATTGGCATGTCTTCTGTGAGATAAAACCAATCATGGTGCCATCACCCTGCCATCCCTCTTTGTTACAAGGGTAACCACAGCTCTTTAATGACCCTGGTGGAGGGAGCCAATTTCTTCCAGTATAAATAGTATCATTAGAGGATAGTGGGGGCTCTGGGCCCCCCAGGTGAGATTAATCACAGTGTATTCAATACAAGTGTCCAATAAGTGTTGTTACACACAGCAGATGGATGGGGCATAAAAATTCTAAAAAGAGGAATAACCATCTTACCTTAGAACCCTTAGAATATATAATGATGTGGGTTAGTATTGATAAGAACAGGTTTTTAGGGGTTACAGATGCCCCTGTAATCCTTAGGGTATTTTTAGCTTCATTTGTTAACCTTTTAGGTCTCCCCAGGTTCGTCAGGTAGACCATTTAGCAGAGGTTAACGGATACTTGTTATTCTTTTGTTGTCCCATCTGTTCCATCCTGGGAGGCAGTTGTATTGTCAGCAGCTGGGGTTCTGGGATGGCCTGATGCCAATTTATGGTATGGGTGGACAGCTTTTGTTGGTATCCAGAGGGGTCCTATGGGAGACAGAACAGAATCATTAATACTTCAATGGGGCCAAGGAGCCACCATGGTCCTTGTAGTGGGTGTCGGTACAAAACCACAGATCTTGGTCCAGATTTGGTAGGAATGAAATGTTGTTCAACACCTGTTAGAGGAATTCAATTTAAGAAGTTTAAAATAAATAGAGTTTTATAAATTTGTTTTTTGGAGAAAAGTTGTTTTCTAGATTCCTCCTTTTTTGCCTTAAAAGTTGTGTTTTAAGAAGCCCATTGGCTCTTTCAAATAAAGCCTGTCCTATAGGATTATAGGGGATGCCAGTGATATGTTTAATGATTGCAGGAATGACTGAAAGGCCTTGGTGATGTAAGCTGGTCCATTAGCCATTTTTATCTGTGAGGGGTTCCCACGACCACAATTAACTTGTTTAACAGATTCCCCTGTATGAATGGAGGTGTGGATCAAACTAGAGGAAGTATTGATACATGGATGTATTAAGGTGACCAAAAGGGTCATAATGAGTCACATCCATCTGCCAAATTTTATTGTTTTTAAATCCTCTAGGGTTTATTTCCATTGAAGAAACTGTTGTAGTAAAGCACTGACAGTCTGGACAGGCTCTGATAATTTTCCAGACCTGTTTTAAAGAAATACCAAAAGACTTAGTTAAGATTTATGCTCTCTGATGAAAAATTAATGGGCATTAACTGCATCCTGAAAGTAATTAGTGACCATAACCAGTTTATCTGCCTGTTCATTTCCCTCAGAAATTAGGGCAGGTAAAGTGGAATGAGATCTGATATGAGTTATGAACAGAGGGTTATAGTGATTTTGAACTAGGACCTATAGTTTTCAGAACATATGAAAAAGCTGTGGATCATTGACATCATGGAGAGCCCTGTCAATAACCTGTGTGCCGTTAGCCACTAGGTGGAGTCTGCTACTATATTTAGAGGTAATTTGGGAAAATGTTGGAGTACCTCAATAGCAGCTGCCAACTATGTCTTAAAGTAATAAAGTCCCCAATTTTCCTGATCTTTTCAGCTGATAGATCCTTTTCCAGTCTTTCCAGATCTGTCTACGAAGACAGTGAGAGTGCCTGAAATGGGCGTCTATGAGATGACAGTAGTTAAATAAAGAGGAAGTAACTTGAGGCCTTGAAATACCTTATCATGGGGTAATGAAAATTCCAAAGCAGCTAACATAATTGGCCATAGAAATCTGTACAAGTTTGCATTGCCTCAAGGTAGCTTGGAAGTCAGATTTGATTAGAACAGGATTAATGACATCTCTTTACCAGGAAGCATCTTGGCATCTGAGACATACTTGTAAGTGTAATTCCATCTGGGGGCATAGCTTTTTCATGGGGTGATGAGTTTGAAATCGCCATTCAATTACCCCTATATGAGGATGAAGCTGACATATCAGTCTGGTTGGACTGTGAGGGGTGTTCAGAATGATAAGGTGAACAGATTTGTCTGGATCTATGCATTTTTTGGCTGTGGGAGAGTTCAGGATGAAGATAAGTTGTTGTCCCCTTTAAGTGTAGCAAATAAATGTCTTAACTGATAGGTGGGGATATCCATGGAGGGACAATGCCAATTAATGTTACGGAGTAGTTTTTGCAAATCATTGAATGTCAGGTTATCTGGAACAAAGGGGGAGACTCGTTGAGGAAGAATCCCTCTTTGAATCATAACATACCCAAGATATTTCCAAGGTTCACTCTTTTGAGCCTTTTCAGGGGATGCCTGTAGCCAGTCTGGGAGGTGTAATTTAGTAAATGTATATACATGAGATAAAGTGTCAGGATTAGAGTGGGGCAGAAGGATATCATCCATGTAGTGATAAATTATGGCATCAGGGAATGCCTCACGAGTAGGGCCTAAGGCACGATCCACATAAGTTTGACAAATGCTTGGACTGTTGACCCTGCTGTGTGCAGAACTTTCCACAGGGATTGTTTGAGAGGGGCTCTCACATTAATGCTAAGCAGAGAGGAGGCAATTTTTTTTTTTTAAATTTTCCTCATGTGGAGGGATTGTGAAAAAGCAGTCTTTCAAATCTGTAATTAAGAGATGATATTTTTGTGGGATAAGGGCTGGGTAGGGTGTCCGGGATGTAGGGCCTCCATGGGCTTATATGAGCATTAACTTGCTTATGATCATGCAGGAGCCTCCATTTGCCCCATTTTTCATGGAGTCTGTGTTCCTCCCAGACCTGATATGGTTAAAAAGGAGGATCAAGTTCACCAAGAGGGGTGCCAATCTTTAAAGGCTATGATTGTAATATCAACCCCAGGGTCAGTAAATCCGGTTATGCAGAGCTTTATTTATTTATTTTAAGATTTATTTATTTTTATAAAAGAACCGGGGTACAGGCCAGATATGAGGGAGGGTGAGAGGATTCACTAGAGACATTGCAGGGAACAGAACAGGCAGACTGACGAAATACACTGCTGAGGGGAGCAGTGGGTGAGGCAGGAGAGGTCTGCCACGTCATGTGGGAATCTCCCGGACCGGCCAGGATCGAACTGACGCTGTAGAGGCTATAGACAGCTTCACAGCACAGCGCTCAACCGCCTGCGCCACCAAGGGAGACATTTTAAATGTGGAAATAGAAGCCATTTTCAAAAACAATGTCAAGTTAAACTAATCTCTAAAGCAAAACCAAAATAAAAATGTCCATGATGTAAAAAGGGTTTTCATTGGACCAATCAAGGTAGATCCAAATTTGATGCCCAGGGAAATCCTCTTTTGGGAAATGAGAAGAGGGGCGTCAACTCCCACTCCCCATCAAAAATAGAGAGTCAGACATGGAACATCAGCACCCAAGTATGGGAGCCTCTGACAGACCAACCAGTTTTTGGAAAGCGAGTTGCAAAATTAAGAGTGTGCTACACCAGGTAGTGCTGGTTTAGACTTAAACATTATCCAAGTAGTGCGTTAGATGAGGTCGGCCAGTTCAAATCATCACCATTGATACCTGGGGACTTTTGTCCATGGGATATGCAGGATTAGCTTTGGGGAAATCAAATTTTTCAACCTAGGGAATTCTGGTATTGCTACAACTGATTGATTCTAATTACATGGGACAGATAAACTTGAAGGCAACCAGCTTTGGGTATGTTAATTCATCTGGTACCCACTGTGCTCAATTACTGTTAATACCCTGTACAATTCCTAAACATTAATATTTTAAAATATTGTTACCTATACGGTGGCAAGTACCTTTTGACAAATCACTATTTGTATTTTCATAATACAAATGAAATGGCATCTTGAAGCCGGTCTGATTGTAGCTAAAGAGCTTGAAGGAGTGTTGTTTCCAGATCTTTCCCCATGATTTTACAGCAGCCTGACTGGTTTGAGCAAATATCTGTTTTTGCAGTTACACCTGAACTTAGGGGAGAGCATAAGGACCTTATTCAGTTATTACATCTCTGCCTATGGGAAGGCCATTATTTAAATTTTCCATGGATATGGCAGTTGCAGTATCATGAAATTCCTGAAGCCATACACTATATACTGAGCAGTGGTTAATACTGTTTTAAAAAGAGCCTTCTAGTCATAAGCCATAATGTCATAGCAAGTTCCTACAGCTTCCTCTATTTCCTGGTGAGGGAACCTTGAATGCCATTTTCATTAGTGCTTCTAAATTCTTTAAAAAGTGCAAATCGAGGGCCTCTCCGGTGGCGCAGCAGTTGAGCGCAGCACTGGGAAGCTGTCCGCAGCCTTCGCAGTGCGGGTTCAATTCCCGGCCAGCCAGGGAGATTCCCACATGGCGAGATAGACCTCTCCTGTCTCACCCTCTGCTCTCCTCAGCAGTGCTTGTGGTCCGTCTGCCTGTTCTGCTCCCCGCTCTGTCTCTGGTAAATCCTCTCACCCTCCTGTGCCTCTGGCCGGTACCCCAGCTATTGTATAAATAAAAAATAAATCTTTTAAAAACACCCCTGCAAATAGAGAACCCTGACACCCTTCTCTAATAAGAGGAAAGGCTTGAAATGTTTCTCCCTTTTTTTGTTGCCCTTCGATAAAACATCGTTCTATCAGGGGTATAAAGTCTGGCGGGCAAGACAGTCCTGTAACCAGGCCATATGGTGGCAGTAAAGGGGTAGGCTGTGTTGGAAATTCAGGGGCCTCGGGTATAATATTGTTTTATCTCCTTGAATAGGCCTTAGTGCTAATCGACAGAGATTCCATTAAGTAAGGTGAGACTTTCAGAATTATTATCCTATTTTTTCCCAATCTTTGAGATCTAAACTTCCTCCTTTTGGTTTCTGAGGACAATGTTGTCTAATAATTAGGAGCAGTTTATTAACACTTAATGGTGGCTATCCTAATGGTGCTTAACTATCTGACCCATGCCCTTCCTTTTATGGCCTCTTTTGATGACCCCAAAGGAAAGAAAAATGTTTAGCAAGAACAGAGGAAGCCTGATTTAAGCAAGCATCGATAAGAATTAAGCAAAAAAAAGGAAAAACCTCTAGGTAAGATTCCTAACTTGACCACTCTGCAGGCATTGGAAGCTAATCCTTTTGCAGGCTGTGTTCCTTACTGGAATGATGTCAGAGCTCCTTTACCTTTTCCAGGCTTTGAGAGATTGGTCCTGTTTCCGAGTTCCTTACACGGTGCTCACACAGGGGGCACCAATTGCCGTGTTACTGTGTGTGGCTCGGGATGAGAAAATGATTACTCAAAGCCCAAGCAGTTTTGGAGCAATGAGAATAGAAGGACTATACTGGGATAGTTCCTTGAGAGGCACAACTTGGGGTGCAGTCCCCAGCCAGAGGCAGTCTTGCTTTTATTGAGTGAAATACAGAAGATAGAAATCAAAGAGCAGGCAAGCAAGTAGAGAAAGTCTAAGCAGGTGGGAACCTGTAAGCCCCTGGGCCAGCCACTGCCTATAGTTCAGGACCAGAGTGTAGGGGCCTGAGTGTAGATGTTAATCCAAGCATATCCTCTAGAGCTGTATTTAAACACTCTGTTTTCAGTTTCCTCCTGCCAGGACTTTGAGGTCCCTTGTCTTAGCTCCCTGCTTGTCCTCTGCATGCGAGATACGGAATAGACAAGGCACAGAACAGACTCACATTCCCACATTTATCTATAATCCTGTTTTTTGAAATTATTACTCTGGTAATGATAACATGTATTGATGTTGTTTTTGGAGTCAGTGGGTTTGGAGTGTGAGGTCCTTGGGTTCCCCCTGGGAAAGGTTTAACCAGAGCTCCCCTTTCAGCAGCACACGGTCAGTTTCCCAGGCAAGTTTCTCCACAAGAAGGAGACAGTAGTTATATTTAAATAGCGGGTTAATTAGGGAATGGGACAGAAGAGTAAAAGACACTCACAGAGACACAAGAGGGCAGGAAGAGACGCCCCGAAAGGGGCAGGTTTGCTGTGAGGGGACTGCATGGTTGCAGGTGGGCGGCCTTGAGCAGAGCTGCCTCCCCTGAGGGAGGTCAGCGAAGAGAAGTCCCGGCCTGGTACAGGTCATGGGCAGGCAGGAAGCTGCTGCCCTGAAGAGGGAGTTGGTGAAAGGAAGCATCTGCGTAGTAGTCACAGGTGGGCAGAAGGACAGCTGCCCCTTTGTGTGGGCAGGATTAGGTTTTTATCATCTTCTTTTGGTAGGGAGGGGCTCATCTTTGTGGGTGGATGATTTGTTCCTTAATCTCCATATCTTCACCTTCAGGTCTGTGCACCTGACACTCCCTACAGTAGTCTGACACCTGCCTGGGTGTTGCCCTCCTGATCTGGGCATTGACGCCTAAGGGTCTTGGTTTCTGTAACTGGGTGAATGGCTTATGCTAATCCCTTCTGCCCAGACCTCCTTTTGTGAGGTAGGTTCTAGTCTTGTGATGCCTCCTTCAGGTTTTCTATCTTTTCCTCCATCAGTATCATTAATATCTCACAATCCACCAACAACCAGTTCTTCAGCTCTTGTACACCAACTGTCTGTGCTGTAAGTCAGTTCGACTTTGACACCAGCTCTATGGAGTTAGTATAAAAATCTACAACTTGAAGGGCTCACTCCCAGAACACTGCCCTTCCTTTAGAAACCACTCCCGAGTACTGAATTCAAGGATACCATACACTTGTGTCCGACTTGGTTACGAAATCAGGGATTCTCAAAATTCCTCACCCTTTTATGTCTGATAATTTGCTACAAAGCCTTGCAGAATTCAAGGAAACCCTCTATTTATTATCAGCAGTTTATTGTAAAGGATACTGTAAGGGCAGGACTGGACACAGTACAGGTTTTCTTATCCCATGCAGACTGGGTAAAGGAGGAGTCAGAGTCCACAGTGGTTTTGCAGGTTTTTATTAGGGTTCAGCGGGTACGTGGCAGGCAGGGGTGCTGGGGGGGCGGGAGGCTGGCAGTCCTCCCAGCCCCAGCAAATCCTCACTCTATCTGGGCTCTCTGGCGTTCTCTGCTTCTCTCTCGGCTTCTCTCTCGGCTTCTCTTTCGGCTTCTGCTGCTGCTCTTTTGGCTTCTACTGGCGTCTCTGTGAC